CAGTTACTATCATTCCGGTCAGAGTGATCCTGAGAGTCACTAAAAGTGAAAATTTTTATTTTACCCATAGCTGGGACCCATTAAAAAAGGAACTGATCACTCCAGGAGTTTGATCCTGAAGTCATTAGAAGAGGGTTGGGCTGAAAAGAGGACTATTTAATTTATATCCCAAAATGAAGGACTCACATTCATACCAAATATGAACTGATGTTTTTAAGACAATAACTAATGGATGCAGTTTAACTTCTTGCCCAGGATAATAAAAACCTAAGAAGTCAGTACCAAATATGGCAGAAGTGGTTAAAGCCTGTAATTTCAATTTAGGAATTGGTTTTGTAAATAAATTGGTAACCATACTATTTTCCAATTGAAAAAATTCAATTTGTACTGTTTTCTTTTTACTTGGTCCCTAAACAAACTGATATTTAATATTGATATGCTTTGATCTTTGGTGTATTTTTGTATTTCTAGCCAAAGCAATACTGGCCTGATTGTTTGTAAATAATTATTGGAAAGATTATTACCAATGTTGTAATTGCTTTTATTAGTAATTTTAAAAAATAGCCTCTTGTGTTGAATTTTTGACAATGCAATATATTCAGCTTCACAAGTAGAAAGTGAAATCATTAGCTGTTTTTGATTTCCAGCTGATTATTGGGTTACCATCTGCTAGCTTAAAGCAATAGCCTGTTAGAGTTTACGATCTGGTGAGTTTGCCCAATCAGCATCACAGAAAATCCTTCCAATTTTAATGGTTTATCTGATTGTCAAAATACTAGGCACCGACTCTTAGTTCCCTTTAGATAATGTAATACTTGCTTAGCTCTTGTTAAATGAACAGTCCCCGGTTTATTTAAGTTTTGGGACAACTTAATAACGTGATAGCAGATATCTGGCCTGGTTGATGTCATTACGTAAAAAGACTTCTACCAATGTTCTGTATTATTTCTCAAACGCTGAAATACCATCATCATTATTCATAATTATGTTTAAATCCATTTCACATGGAGTAGTTCTTGTTTTACAATTTTGCATGTTGAATTTTGATAAGAGCCTTAAAATGTATCTTCATTGATTCATTGAAATAGTGTTGCTTTTAAATTCAAACTGTATACCCAAAACCATGATAGACAATAAAATCGGTCATTTTAAACCTTATTTCTAGGGAATCTTTTGATTTTAATAGATAACCAGAAATTTTGATACAATTAAAATATTAATAAAAAATAAAAATTACTAATATTTCATTATTAAATGTTATCTATACAGACATGGGTCAACTTGGGGAGATTGAAATTATTGTCCAATTAAATAAGAATGGATTAAATTATTCCATGTTCTTCCGCTCTGTTTGAGTCCAAATAGTGACTTTTTTAGTTTCCATACATAATTATCACCTTCATAATCGATGGCAGCATTAAAAAAAAAAGCTGCTTTAACATCTATATGGTGTATATCCATAGAAAATAATGTGCAGCCATTTGCATCAATTATCTAATTAAGACTGAATGTTTCTGTTAAATCGTCCCCCCCTTTATAATCTTCCCGATATATCTACAAAAATCCATTAGCTACAAAACGAGCCTTGTACACTGGCGATCCATCAGTTCGCTTTACAGTATGAAACCAACGGCTGCCGATAATATTTTTATCATCCGGGGCCTTTTAATTCAAAAAGTGTCCTTTGATACAAAAAGATTTAATTTGCTTTTTTTTTTTTTTGCAACAGCTTATCCATTTGGAATTGACAGAATGTATGGCTTTTAATAGTTTTTTGGGATACATTGTACCGAATAATAACAGTCAATCTCGCAGATATTACATTGACCCATTTCAAAATAGTCTGGCTTTCTTCTATTTATTGTTGGATAACGCGGAATTTTTTCGTCTGCCCCCCTGCCCTTATTAGATGTATTTTCTTTTTAACTCAAGAAGAACCTGATTTTGCCTCGTCTACTTCATCTGGTATAACACCTTCCTTTGATTGTGGATTTTGAACGGGTTTCCTACTTATAAAAAAAACTAGTTCGGGTTGGACTAGTTTGGCAGTTATTGTTCTTTTCTTCGGGTTCATCTCCTGGCTCAAAGGAATTTGTAAATCTGACGCATCTGATCTTCCTTATTTTTCTTTTAATATCCGAATTATTACAGTGGTTAATATTTTATGCCAAGTCCTTAAGTCGTGTGATGGAGGTAATTTTCAATACTTTTCAAATAATACAAGCATCCATTTTGCTGTATATTCAGTTCCGATCCTGGATATATTAATTTTGAATTATCTCAGTGAAAATTGACACCAGCCTTCACTGCAGATTGAACTGAAAAAATATTTTGTTTGAATTTAGGAATATATAAATTTTTTTAATAAACATTTACAAATATTTCCTTTTGTATTTCATAGATAAATACAGGCATCTTTTTCTTTTTAAAACTAAAATTATTAGCTCTGGTCCCATCAGCTATTCTATTGATAACATGTGAGTCGGGCTCAAAATTGGTGTCAAAATTAATAAATTTTGTTTCATCTGTAATTACATGATTTGTCACACCAGTATCAACTAAGTACGAATTATAACCATTGGCGACAGTATCTAATCCAAATGAAAAAGCATATGTCCGCTCATTCGAGAAAAAGTTTTTACATTTTTACAAAAATCATTCCGTGTATAAAATTGACATTTCACACAGACATGGCCAATTTTACCACAACGAAAACAAACGATATTTCTTTTAGTATTGGTATTTCCCTTATAATTCTTGTAATAATTGTTTTTGAAGCCCTTGTTCTTAATATCATAATTCCTAGTCTGATCGGTTTGTGGAACTGGTTTTCTGAATTTTTCAAATGACGTTCTCAGTTGCATTACGTTATTGCCTTGATTTTGGGGAGTACACATTTTTTCAGTTTCTTCATAGCTATGTAACGCCATTTTAAACTCAGTGAAAGTTAATTGTTTATCTTTTTGAGTTATAACTGTCATGAGTGGTTTGAATGACGGTGGCAAACCCTTCAAGACCATGGCTATTAGCAGCCCATCCGAGATAGTTTCACCTGCAATTTTTAAGGCATTTGTGACATTCTCAGCTCATATGGTATAATCAGTTATAAATTCATTTTCTCGTCTCTTTAATACAGTTAGTTCAGTATATAAATCAAATAATTTTAGGCTTACCTTTTGACAAATAGTGTTCACGGAAAAATTTGTAGAGCTAGATGCCATTGGTTTGGCCTCTCTCATTATTAAAGACAAAGTTTCATCCAGGAATTGTTCAATTCATTTAACACATTTCTTTCCATAAAATCATCATCCCTTCTGGTCATTTGGAAAGGATGATGTAGACATTATTTGTATTCTGAGGTAGGAAAAACTTTGTCTCCCATAATTCATATCTCGATTCATTTGTTCAAAAATATAATGGATCTGCTTCATAACCAATGTTATTCATCATGACAGGGTCTTCAAGTATAGAATCAGAGGTTAGCAAATGAATATTTCAAGACAGGAGGAAAGCATTGTTCAGGTTAGCAGTGGATATTTCAATAAAAGTAGCAGAGCATAGTTCATCCTTCTGGTTCAATCAGCTCTGACAAGCTGGACTGGACATTCTGGTAGAAGAGAACAGAAATGGAGCCTTTTGTCTAAACAATTGAATGTTCTACGACTTCTGATTGGTTAACCTTCAGATATTGGTAGACTATAAAGGGAGTTAAGTCATTTGAGCTAACTCACTAGTTATATATATATACACAAAAATTGTAACAGGCAGGACAGTGTGACTGGCCAGCTAACATTGTCTGTTGATCGAAAGTGTTAGGACAAAGCAGTACTGTTTGAAGCCAAAAAGATTTAGTCACAAGCTATTGATTTGACAATTCAAATTGAGCAAGTGTTAAAGTGGGACTGGAAATTGGAATAAAAAGATAAATGCAATTCAATATTGGGCAAATGGAGTTATAAATTTTAAGATAAAATTTCAGTTTGAAACAGAAATAAGTTCAATGTCAGTAACACAAAGACACAGTATGTGTTTGCCAGATCATCTGGACATTTCCCTTTCCAGTCCCACTTTAAAATCTTAGATCAGCATTACTATAGTTAATATAGTTAATATTTATGATTGATATTTACCAACCTGATAGGGAAACTGAAAATAAGGTAAAAACCTGTTGTTAAGAGTGTTACAATAACTGCAAATCATGACTGAATATTTTTAAATGACACCTTTGCCAGGTAACAGTTGAAGTGAATGTAATGTTTTTATGAGGTTGTTGTTGTTGTTGTTTCAAGTATAATAATATTGAAACTGACGCGATCTTCAAACTTGCATTAGTCAGTTGACTGAATTATCCTGAGTGATATTTGCCAGGTAACTATAAACAGTTCTACAGTTTCTAGACTCAATATAATGTATTCATGATCTTTTTGTTTGAGGTTGTTGTTGTTATGATCTTTTTGTTTGAGGTTGTTTAGTAATATTGAAACTAATGAGATCTTGAAGACTTCAAATTTGCATTTAAATTTTGTCAGTAAGTTTACTGAATATTTCCAAATAACACCTTTCAAAGTTTGCCAGGTAACAATTGAAGTGAATGTAATGTCTTTATGAGGTTGTTGTTTCAAGTTTAGTAACTAATATTGAAACTGATAAGATCTTCAAACATGTATTTTTCAGTTGACTGAATTATTCCACTGAATGTAATTGTTCTTGAAATTTCTAAATTTCCTCCCATAAATTTTGTCTGTATTGTCTTAGAGAATTAGAAAATAAAACTAAACTTCACCTGGAATTGTTTTATTCATAACATTAGAGTGAAATAACATTACATGAATTTGGCTAGTAACTTTTCTATTTGGCTAGTAAATGAAAATATTTAGTTGTCAAAGGTCAACTAAAGGTCAATTTGTCCGTAGAGCCCTGGTTGCAGTTAGAAAAACCAAAGGATATATCAGACCAAAGTATTGTGATAACACTTTGACACTTTTTTTTCTCTCTTTCAGAAAACAGTTGGTAGTGAGGGGAAGATGCTGCTATTCCGGTGGTTAAGTAATTCATGTCGGGTCTATACTCGTCCTATCATTTTACTGGTGGCCCTGGCCTTCATAGCTATCATTACTTTATTACTTTGGAAAAGTGAGTAGCCATTTTATATTTTGAAACTACACTTATTTTTCTTTTTTCTTGTTCAGTAAATCTCTCAGGCTATCACTTTTCTTTCTGTTGTTTTTATTATATCTTCCCTGATATATTTACCAATCAGCAAATGGGTCAAGTAAAATGTTATTTTATGTAATCATCTTAAAAAGACAAGCTGAGAGTAATAATTAATTTCCACAATTTCTTTTTTCAGCTGATGCTTGAAAATCCATTGATACTCATAAATATAATGTTTTCATGCTAGCATTTACAGTAGTCATAAATTATGTTTCCCGTCTATATTACCTCATGAATATTTTCAAATTGAGTTAATTATCATTGAATAAATCTTGTGTAATTTATTGCTTCTTATAAAAAAAAAAGGTATACATGTTGCCTATTGGATACATTGAGTTGGTTTAAAAGTACAGTTCTTGACCTTTTTTTTCTGGTCAAACTCACCATATTCATAATGTTAACCACTTTAGCAAAGCTGTCAACATAACCATATCTACCAAATCTATGCTATATGTTCTAACAAGTTTTAAGGAAAATGGAAAGAAAACAGACACATTTAGAATAAGAAGAAGACAGTGGAAAGAGACCTCGGAGAATTTGACATTCACAGGACATATTGTAGGCAACGGAAACACTGAGTAACATAACCTAATGAGCTTGTGTAAATGGATGACAAAATACACTGGGAAAGATACTAAGGGTACAAACATTGCTTAGAGCTACAAAGGATAAGAAGTTGTGGATGTCCTAAAGAGGAACAGCACATAAAAGAAGCACTCATTGTGTAATGGGTAATTTTTTCCAGTATGACCTCCCCTTTTGGAGGAGGGCTAGGTTTATTGCCCAGTGCTTGAGGTGTCACCAAAAGGGGAAGTGCCAAGGGGCTTGAACAATTTTTCCATGGTATTGCTGTTAAATCCTCTTTAAACTGACTTTGTCACACTCAGTAGCAATGTGGGCACAATAAAAAAATACAGTAATTCATTTCTGATATTTATTATGCAATTTCTTTTAAATTTTGTCAATATTTACTAAGTCAAATTTAGTCTAGTACAAGAATTGAATTCACTGATTTGCACTACAATAGACACATTTTCTTATATAGTTTCATATGAGGTGATACTAGTATATATTGAAGCAAATGTGTTTTATACTAACTTAATTGTTTCAGTTATATATGCTGTATTTGATAACATGCATTTTTATCAAAAAAAAATGTTGAAGCCGCCCTAAGTTGTGATAAATTGCGAATATTTTTCAACAGATGAACATAATCAAAAAGCAAATGTTTATTATCTTCAGTTAACCAAGGTTTTTCAGGAAGTGTAGGATATAATTTAAAAAAGCTTGATTTACGTGGTTGCCATCACATAATAGCCTTTACATCAGCTGGTACAGATGTGATGGCTTGGACTGTTAACTCAATTTGTTCAAATGAAAAGGCGGATGTTAATTTTGAAATTGGAATCAATTTTGTAAGAAAATTTGGACCCCCATTGAGACATGAACATTATACCAAGTACTGTTTGAGCAAGTACAGATGGATTGTCAACTGATTTACCAAATAGTTGTTTGCCATGATATAGCAACATCTTTTTGATATATACTTCATCATAGAAAATTATGCACCCTTTTTGACTGGTATTAAGAGTATTAAATATAGATAACAAAAAAGATTTTTCATTAAGTTTTGAAACTTTTGACGTCATCCTTCATAATGTTGCTAATGAGGGTAATTTAAAATCATATCTTAATTCATTATACAATGTCCGTGATATTGCATAGTACCCAAAAGCATGCACAACTATATCTGAGCTGTATTTTATTCCAACCATTTTGGCAGCCATTGCTAAAAATTGTTGACTCAGGATATTTTTCTTGTGATCAAAAGCCATAGAATTTAAATATCGGATGATTTCTTCCAGTTTTGACCAAGTGTGACGTCGTCCCCCGGTCGCAGCACCAACTGTGACGTTCTATCCTGATCTACCACGGCGCTAGTTGTGACGTGGCCGTTCCAGGGTCCTATCCCGTCACGACACCAGTTGTGACGCCCCTAAACAGCACCAATTGTGACGCCTTCAAGCAGCGGGCGCCAGCTGTTCGCTCCTCACTGCTCCATCCGGTGTCGCTGCTCCAACGTGACATCCGCCTGTCGCGTCAGTCGTGTTGTCTCGCCCCTGTGACGACCAATTGGCTTGGTATCGGTCGTGGCACCCAAATGTGACGTTTCTAACCTTTTGGTGATTCGGTGGGAATCTGGTTAGATTTGATATCAGCCTCGCCGTTTCCCAACTCGCTTCCAACGCCTGGTTACCAAGGTAACTGCACTGATCTCCAGTCTGCCTACCCACGCCAGAATTCATCTTAGACAGACGAGATCAAACAGTGGTTGGGGCCGAATGCAAATTGAGTTCAACGGGTTGATAACACACAAATATGCATAAAAGAAAAGAAAATGAAAACTCAAAAAGTTCAAAGTATCAAAGAAAAAAGGTAATAAACTTTATGTCTAGTTGTTCGATACATAGGACTGCATCTATCTCCCGACCCGCTCAGTGGATTGTGACACGTCGTTTTTTTAGGCAAGTTTTTAACGCTTCAAATTGTTTGCTCTCTAAGAAATTTGTGTTTCGTGTGTCTCTGGACAAAAGTCGAAAAAACTTATTTCGTGGTCTAGTCCTAAGTCGCTTCTTCAAAATAATTGTTCTTGGTTGAAGTGGAGTCCACAATTTTATGTGAATCTTGGTCAGCTATCTTGAGGCGGCTTCAACTCTGGAAACTGGAGCTCGAACTCTCTGGACACTCATCTCTGCTGCCAAGGTCCGAACTAACTACTGGACACTCATCTCAGCCGTCAGGGCTCGAATTACTGGACACTCATCTCAGCCGTCAGGGCTCGAACTACTGGACACTCATCTCAGCCGTCAGGGCTCGAACTACTGGACACTCATCTCAGCCGTCATGGCTCAAACTGATTTCTGCCTGTTGGGGCCTGGCTTTTTTATTGACGCCCGACAAAAACTGGGTTGGGTCTGTTACGCCGGGGAGTTCCTCGATAATTCTAAATACATATCCACCTCTTTTATTTCTGGTTAGGGATTTTCCACTTTTTTCCATTTTTGTAACTTTTTTTTCACTCCCACTTTCTCACCATGCTTCTGAGGGGCGTGAACTGCCCTCCCTACTTCTTCGTAGCGGCTTCTCATAATTATAATCTGGATGGGGGCGTCGACAGCCTTCTTCATGCGCCACGTGATCACTCTCGCCAATGAGGTCTTGGTCGGTATCTTTCCTCCTCCTTCGTGCGTCATGTGATCACCACTTGACCAATGACGCCTTAGTCGGGCGTGAACAACCCGTGGCTTTGTTTCGAAAAAAATACCTTGCTTAACTAAAATATTAATTATCTCTTCTCTTTCCTTTTTTTTTTCTTCCTTTCAAATCGCCGTTATCATGAACGGATAATATGACAACTCTTTGTTCAACACGTGGCGTTTGTCAAGCAGTTCATCGCTAATTCATCAGATTGGTTGGTTTTCCGACATGGCCTCAGAAAAGAATTTTCTCCAAGTTTTCAGTCGGTCTGGCGTCTCCAAGGAAGAAATAAAAACATTTCTTATTCCATTCATTTTCGCCGGTTCATGTGTCTGATAACAAAATTTTATTATCGCAGGGCAAAAAAAGTTTGTTTTGTCGAAAAAGAGTTTAGTTAGTGAGACTGCTTTGTGGGATTTTAATTTTCCATATCTAGCTAAGGCTCCGTGAGCTACACCTGTGTTTTGTCAATTATCAAAAGCTAACGTTTTCAAGTGGACTTTCTTTTGGCTTAACATTTCTTGATAACACAATTCCATTCGCAAGCAGGCCAAGTAGGAAAATCGGTCAATGATTGCTCGCAGGTGGGCTTTAATTTTCATATCTGTCCAAAGTCTTTTTTAGTCGCCTGTTTCTTGTCATCACTTATCGAAATAACATTTTCGCTTGAATTTTTCCTTTGGCCGGTGGTCTGTGTTTTGATAAGATGCCTTCTCATACCAATAGTTTGTTTTCATATCCTTAGATAACACTTCCCTACCCACTCAATCTCATTGTCATTGTAATGACACTCTTTCGCCCTTTTTTTTTTATTGCCTCTTAAGCCGTGTGTGTGTGTGTTTGCTTATCACCTATGATCCGTCTCGCATTACTTTTTCCCTTCCTTTCTTCTTTTCTTTCCTTTTCCCTTTTTGCCTTTCTTTCTCTGCCTGGATGCATGGTGCCACACAAGTATCAACTGTATTTATATGATTTTTGGACAGGCTGCTAATATAACACTTAACTCCATAATGAAATGTTTCAAAGTGCAAATTGTTATAAATTTTCAACATAAAGAGAGGAATACCATCAATAGATTTTGATAATTGAACAGTTAAAATATTTTCATCCAAAAATGCTACAACTGGACATATAAAGTCTTTTTTGTTGTTAAGCAGACTTTCTTTCAAATTTGTATAATTTTATCTAATTCTAAAAAAGCATTAAGTTCATCAGCAATTTGATTTCTAACAGTACTGGAGGTTTTTTTTATATTCTTTTGAACAGCTGAGGGTGTTGGTATTTGACTACTTGGCACACCTGGCCATACAGATGGTGGATTTTTTGGACATATTTTCCCATTAACTTTTATGGTATTAAAATTTGAAGGCCAATGTTGTTTACTTTAAAACTTTATGTTAAATTTAAAAACATTCATAAGTAGCCTTTCCTTTAGTTTGGTTATTTTAATACGCCTTAAACTATATAAATAGGAATATATAACTTTTTTTTTACCTTAAAGCAAAACAATTAAAAGTAAAGTAAAAATAATGCATTTTGTCCTTTAACAACAATATCAGAAAAATATTAAAATAAATATGATAAATAAAATGGTATTATTATACTTGTCTTGTAAAATAATTATTGTAGTCAAAAGGCGTAAAAAAGGAGACCTTTCTAAA